TATATATATATATATTTGGCTTAATTGCACTTTTGGTCCTTCTAATTTTTTGGTCCTCATAATTTGAATTGCTTAATTTTGGTCCATAAATTTAAATAATGGGCAATTTTAGTCTCACAAACAATTTGCCATCCAAAATTTAACAAACGTTAATGATGTGAATTTAAATTTTTTTTTTTTGCGTTTTGGATCTGAGCATGGTATAAAACTGGATCCTGAACGACCCGTTCTCCTTTTAGAATGGCCCGTTCTCCTCGCAGCACTTTTAGAACAGCTCGTTCTCATTTCAGAACGGGCCGTTCCGGATGCAAAAATACACACATGACGAATGGACCAAAACAGGCCGTTCTGCTTGGACGTTCCAGTTTCAAAATTAACAGACTACGCGTGCAAGCAGAACGGCCCGTTCTGCTTGGAGAACGGACCATTCCTGTTGCATCAATAACATACAATCTGAACTACAAACAGAAAAGAAATTAAATAATATATAATTAATATTTATTTAGCATAAAATTCATATCATTAACGTCTTTTAAATTTGTTATTTTAAATTTTGTTTTAGACTAAAATTTCCCATTATTTAAATTTATGGACCAAAATTAAGCTATTCAAATTATGAGGACCAAAATTGCTCTTACACTAAATTAGGAGGATCAAAACTGTAATTAAGCTATATATTTAGTTTAATTTTTTTGATCCGTAGTTCGAGTTTAATTTAACCAAAATTAAATTAATAAAGCATGAATAAATATTTTTACCAGTTCAATTATCAACCCAATTATCAAAACATTATTCTAAACACCAAATAAGACCATCAAAATAAATAAGAGGTCGAAGAAGACAAGAAAAATGCTAAACATGACTAGTACGCCAACTTTGAAAAGTTAAAATTCATAAATATAAAAATCAAACTAACAAATTGGTTCAGATCTAGCCTTAGACACTAAACGAGTTAATATTCAGATTAATATAACCTAATTGAACTAGTTTAATTTAAATGGCCAAATTCGTTACCGAAATTATCACATAGATCCGACCCAATCCACACGTACGTTTTAGGTTTTACCAAATGTAGAGAACAAGCCACATGATCATGATTCGTAGTTAGGTTCATGAATAAGAAGCAGCACAGCCACATGCCAAAGCTTCTAATGGGGCACCTATATCTTTCCATAAGATTCCCAGCAATTATATGAACACGCGTCAATCCTAACAGCAAGATACGCGTCCTTTAACTAAGTCCTTTTAATCCGAAGATCGATTTTCACGATATTATTAAATAATATTTTATCAGTAAAAATTTACAAATATAAATTAATTTTGAAATCCTATATTTTAAAAAAAAAAAAAATGCGCCCCCCCTTCAAGAAAATCGAGGAAAAGAAAATGTGAAGATTCTTCTTCGTAGATATAATGCAACTAAGCAAGCATGGTTAAAATTTTAAACAAAAGTGGATGAGTACAAGGAAGAAAACATTATACACGCCACTCGTGCACACAATATTAAACACTAAATACGCCTTCATAGATAGACCCTATGTTCTTGGAATTTTAAAAAGGTTATCTAAGACTCAATCAAATTATTGCGGATCTCAAAACCTCTACTTTAGTTTTAATGACCCGTTTTTGCAGCTCAAGCTCCTTCGTATTGAGACAACCCAAGCATGGATACCAATTTTATATTTGAAATGAAGAAGGTAATGTGGCATGAGAGGAGGCAAACTAGGTGATGACTAATGAAGATTTTTGTTTACCAACACACGGAGAAGAAGCCAGGTAAACACCTCAAGGCTCAAACCCATTTCGCTACATATAATATCACATTATTATCATATATTATAGAGAAATTGTAGGGTAGAGATGTGACAAGTTAACCGAAATCCAAGGGAAGCCCATGCGTGTACCACATGCCCCACACGGTAATTAAGTAAGGCGATTTGTGATCCAACTTTTTTCTTTTTTTGTATTTTGTTTCTACGTCTTGGAATAATTGGGCAGCCCCTATATAAAGAGAGTCAAGAACTTTGTAAGAGCATTCAAAAATTGAGCTGAAAGTGAAAGAGAAAACAACAAATTAGAAGAGCAATTAACCATGGCAAATAAGTACCATGTTAGATCAATTAGTTTGCCTACTAGATCTCATCCTAGCACCATTAGAGTGGAAGAGGAGTTAAGCAAGCTCAAGATTTGGGAAGAAACATCCACATCCATATCCACATTAGATTCCATTCACACTGGCCTATCCTTGCTTGAAGATTTGTACCTTAGTTTGGATGATCTTCTCAACATGGCATCAACCCAACAAGTGATTTCTCACCATAGAGGTGATAAGTGTGTGGAAGAGGTGTTGGATGGTTCTGTGAGAATTTTGGACACATGTGGCATCACAAGGGACACCATGTTGCAAATCAAGGAAAATGTCCAAGCCCTTCACTCTGCTCTTAGGAGAAGAAAAGGAGAGTCATGTGTTGAAACAAGTGTGGCTGAGTACAAATTGTTCACCAAGATGATGAAGAAGAATGCTAACAAGTTGATCACATCTTTGAAGCAGATGGATGGAAAATTTGGGGTGTCACCACTTTTGGGTCTTGATCATCACCTTGGTGCTGTGATTAGAGTGCTTAGGGAAGCCATTCTGATCAACTTGTCAGTTTTTCAATTTATTTTGTCATTCTTGACCATGTCTTCGTCGAATTCTAAGGGAACCAAGTGGTTGGTGGTGGCAAAGTTGATGCACAAGGGGGTGAAACCTTGTGAAGAAAACTCCGAGAATGTGAATGAGTTGCAGTGTGTGGAAGCAGCTTTGAGCACCCTTTTGAATGAAGGTGCTAATGATGAGAAGATGCAGGTGGCACATGAGAGATTGGAGGCTTTGGAGAATGCCACTGAAAGTGTTGAGAATGGCTTGGAGAGTGTGTTTAGGCGATTGATTAAAACTAGAGCTTCCCTTTTGAACATTATCTCCCAGTAGAGTGTTTTCAATAGCAATTTTTATCAAATCCTGCAAATGCATCCAAATTTTAGGGATCTGCTGAGGATTATTACCTCAATGATTTGTAGATGTATAATATTCAAAAGTAATGCATTGAAATGTAAAGAAAATGTTCATTGTCTATATAACGATGGTTCCCTATAACCAAGGTATTCAAAATTGAGATCTTACTAAAGATTGCAAAGGGAAGTATTGATCGTAAAACGAAAGATCGTAACATGGATCATAAGATCCTACAAAATTTATGAAATTCATATATACATACACATAAGTTTTGTAGTAAAAAAAAAAAAAAAACAGCTTCATCCTAGTAAAAAACAGAAAAAAAATTCAACTAGATAAACAAAAAACAATGATATTTATATAATATAAAGTAGTAAGCCAAATTGATAATATATATTATAAAGTAAAAACCTTATCCTAGTTACAAAACTGTAACTCTTTCCCATTGTTCCCAATTACAAAATAGTGGCTCCATCCTAGTTATCAAATAGAGATTCTATCTTAGTTACAAAAAGATAATCCATCTAAACTCTAAAGCAAATAATCTTGCAAGTTAAAATCATAATCGCTTAAGATATCTTCAACTCCATCATTTTCAATTCCATCTTGTTCACCATTCAAATCAGCAATTTCCATATCATCTAGAGGTGCAGTTTCATCCTCCCCAACTTGTATTGGAGCCAAGTTCTCATCTGAATCCAAGTTATTTACATTCAAATCCAATCCTTCATTCTCCCCATGCTCATCTTCCATAATCCATTCATCATCGGATGAGAAATCATCAAAATTAATTTGAACTGGTTTCCTTGTTTGCTTCTTCTTAGCTAATTTTGAATTAGCCATAACATATACAACATCATTCATTGTGCTTTGTTTTAGCCTATTCCTTCTCTTTGTGTGGACCTAAACAAATGCAAATATGATAAGAAGCTAGCAAGTATAGTAGACTAGTAATTCTATTTTATAGATATATAATATATTTTAATTCTACTTAACTTACCATTTCAAAGAAACTCCAATTTCTTTCACATCCAGATGAGCTACATGTCAAGTTTAATACATGTATTGCAAATTTTTGGAGTTCTGGATGCTCATCACCATATGACTCCCACCAATCTGTTGGAGTCTTTAAATTAATTGACCTAGTAGCCAAGGGACAACCAAAATATTTAGCTCATTTTTTGAAATCATCAATTTGAACATCAATTAAAGTTTGTTCATCCTCATCCTTCACCATCCTTGTTAGACAGTCCATTAGACCTCGTTTCACTTACAAATCAGCCTTAAATCCTGAACGATAATGCATTTGAGGGTTAAGAAAATAGCATGCAGCATGTAAGGGCCTATGAAGTTGCTTGTCCCACCTTTCATCAATGATGCTCCACATAGGCAAATAACTAAACCAAAATATATTGAGTTATTTTTCTGTTTTCAGTTTCAAGTAATTAAATAAATAAGTATATACTTAGTTACCTTTTTCTGATAGCATTGAAAGCCATTTGTATCTTCTTCTTAGCTTGGTCCATTACTTCATAAATGAACCCCATGGCTGGTTTTTGATCCGAATCAACCAATCGAAGCAGTTCAATTAGAGGCAACGCACCCTTTAAACAGATTATGATATTACTTCAAAAAACCTTATCCTCCAAAAACCCTTATCCAAAACCACATTTTCAACTGTTTTTCCATCCTTTGTTTTTGCATACCTACTAGACTTCCATTCATTACTAGTAAACATTCTAATTAGAGCACCTTTGTTCTCATGAAGACACCCTAATGTTAAATAAGATGTGGCAAAGTGAGTAATACCTGGCCTCACCAAGTCTCTTCCTTTTGTGAAATGTTGTAGTAGAGAGATTAGAGAAGTTCTTGAATAAATAAAGGTTATAATTCTTTTACCTTTTGGAATTGTCTCCTCATGAATTGGGATTTTCTTCTCATAATCCTCCAACATTAAGTCAACACAATATGCTGAACATGGTGTCCAAAATAGCCTTTTTCTCTTTTCCATCAACATTTGACCAGCAACTTTATAGTTTGTAGCATTATCTGTTACAACTTGAACAACATTATCTTCCCCCACCTCTTCAACAATGCTATCCATCATCTCAAAAACTTTTTCAGCAGTTTTGGATGTTGCAGAAGCATCTATGGACTTAAAAAATAGAGTTCCCTTTGGGTTGTTCACTAGGAAGTTAATTATTGTCCTTCTTTTCTTGTCAGTCTAGCCATCGGTCATAATTGCGCATCCAGTTTTCTCTCATTCATCCCTATATGATTGCAAAGTAATTGATGTATTTTTCACTTCCTCCTTCAAAATTTTGACTCCAATCTCATGATATGATGGAGGCTTAAATCCAAGGCCATGCTTTGAAACCAAATCAAACAGCAAAGAATTTCCCACTCTTTGCCACATTGAAAGGTATTGCGTTGTTGTAGAAAAATCTAGCAATTGCTTGACATGCTTCCTCTCTCACACCTTTCTTAAACATGGTATTGATGGTGGCTTGTGTACTAATTACTCTCTTCTTAAAAATATTTATGGGACTGCCAGTGTCAATTGCTTCATTGCCTTTTCTTTTATCACCAGCTTCTAGACTTTCCTCCTCCTTATTAAGGCTTGATTTCTTGATCAAATTTTGTTGCAAACCAACAACAATTTCCCACATTTCCTTCTTCACTTCATCCGTAACAACCTTGCAAGCACCAACATCTTTTTGAGTACCAGCCAAGTGATATTTCAACCTATAAACTCTCCCTGTTATTACCTTCTGGCAATATTTACATTGAAGCTTTCTTGTATCCCCACCAACTGAAATACAATGCTTCCAAGCTACATCACTCCTATTTCCAGGAGCATTTTTGGGAGGCATAGGGGCAAAGGAATTTGGAGTTGGATTTGAAGTCATTTTAATGATTGTCTAGAAGATAAGAAATAGTAGAAGAGTTAATAATTTATGTAACAGTCTTTTAAAAAAAATAAAAGAATTAAATGGCACAAATAAGAGAAGGTGTAGGCTTACGGTTACTGCAAAAACGTACAGGCTTGCAGTAAAAAAAATCCAATTCTGAATCAGTTCGTAACTTCTAGGGCAAGAGAGAACATAAGCAAGGAAAGGAAATTAGAATTTCACAGCCCACACAAAGGGATAATAAGAAAGATGGAATGGAATATAAGTGGGATTGGAACTTATTAAATAGGTTTAGAAGAGTAGAAGTGGCGGTAATTTATTTTTTTTTCACGTATGAAGAGCGGGAGTCTCTACTTTCGTAAAAGGAAGAAGATTTAATTTTTATTCATGAAAGAAGAGCAGCCGTCTCTGTTTTTGTAAAAGGAAGAATTAAGAGCGCGGCAGTTAAGGCAGCGGAGGCTTCTAGTTCTCTGTTTTTGTAATGGGAGAGTGGAAAGATTTTTATCCTTTTTAATCTATGTGGGGCAGAGGGCACCTTTTAATGTTTCTTAAGTTATTGGGCTTTGGGAGAATATGGGCTTCCGTAAGGGTTTTTTTGGGGCTGAATGTGTTTTAAATTCTGGGTCATAAAACCAGGTCACAAGTTCGACCCACAAACCTAAAATTAGGCATGCAAAAAGAGCCGCTTCTGTGCGATTTACGGTCTTCCACGTCGATCCAGTATGATCTGCAAATTTTGCGATCCAAAGCAAGCGCGAGCACGAAATTGGTAAAGAAGATCATGAACGCGTCCGATCTTACACGGCAAACCGCGATTTTGACTACCATGCCTATAACACTAAATGTTTTACCTATTTTGTGTTTATATTTAAGTATTTAAACAATTAATCAAACTTGTGCGTAACAACGTTTATTTTCATCTCATTTGTCATTTTGCGCAAGAACGTGACTTCTTAAATTGGTCTTCCTAGGTCATATTTAGCACGTCTTTTTTTTTTTTTTTTAACTATTTTTTTATTTATAAAAAATTTATGTTCGAGATCTTACTTAAAAACTAAATCTTGTTTATTCATATTAATGTCTTGTTAGTCCATCGATAGCTATTCAAAAGTTTGTTATTTGTTACTTTGAAGCTTCAATAAGTAAACCTTTTGTTTTTTTCAAAGTTTGATTGTCGAAACCAGCAGCAAAATCCAAAACTCTATCACCTTAACATCATTAACGAAGATCTAAAAAAGGATTATTAAAGATGCCACTAATTAATAACCTTTGGTCTTAGTAATAAAGTGATTCGACAATATTCAAAAAAGTGTTACCACTACTAACTACTGTGGTGCTGACTTACTATTAACTACCTAATACAAGATTCCACTCTTCTTTTTCTTGGAGGCCAAAAACAAATATTGAAAAAGGTTCCTGAAATCTCGGCATTTTGGGAGCCGAAATTTTAATTTTGGCTTAAATTTACTTGCTGTGTAATTTTGGTCTTTAAATTTTTTTATTATAAATTTAGTTTCTACAATTTTAAAAAGTAAGTAATATCGGTTAAATCCATTAACATGGCATACCAAAGAAAAAATTTAATGTTTGTAAATGACATTGTTGATAATTAGTTAGAGCCATGTAGTAAAATAATATATTAAAAATTAAAAAAATTGCTTAAATAGATTTTAAATTTAATTTAAATAAAAATATAACATAATTATAGTAAAAAAACAATAGTATTTTTTTATATGAAAACTAACATGATTAAGTAACTTTTCTTGTTAGGTAGTGTCGCTCACAAGCATGCTAGTATTTTATGTTCAATTTTAAATGATATATTAATAACTGAACCAACATTATTTGATGTTAAAAATGAGAGGGATTGATTTTGCAATACAAAAATTAAGAGACCAAAATTACATACTTGCAAAAATTATTGAAACTTATACCAACCACACTAGATAGATAACATCGAACGTATGGTGCCACACCGACCTTGGTCGTTGAGATTCATCTCGGTCCCAAACCATTTAATAACATCGGCCAAAGGTTCAGCCATTCCTCAACTAACAAGATAAAAATATGAATATACGATCTCATCATATCTAAAACCCTAACCACCATCAAGGCACATGCACTAAATATATGAAACATTCACACCTACAAAACACTAACTTAAGCATTGGAGTCTTCTTTTAGGTACATCCCCCTTTGGAACATCTAAC